ACGGGCTGCGGGCGCAGTTTACGCCCTCTCCCCTGGTAAGCTGCCTAGGCAAGCCTCCTGTCCTTCAGGCACCCAGCCTGAGTCCTGTGTGAGGCCAAACACCTTGGTCACAGAAATGAGCGCAGCGACAAAAGCATCGATAGCCGTGGCAGTGCTGAAACAGGTACTTTTTAGGATTTAGGTGTTTGACAACACAGAACCTGTTTCTCTACAAACTATATTTATTCATTAGTAAGAAAAGCACACAATTAGGTTAATTAGTAGCCTATTTTTTAATACAGCAAGTCCCCGACTTACTAATGAGTTCAGTTCTGGGAAAAGCTTTGTAAGTCGGGCCGGGTCGTAAGTCCCACAAAGCGAGACTTACCTTTGACACAAACATACAATGTAAAACATAAGAAAACCAAGCACACACAAAAGTACAATAGGCCCCTGACTGCACCATGTAGTAAGCACACAGCAGCCCAGCCCTGACAATGTCCACAGATACCTGAGCTCCCTGACCTCCAACTTGTTGGCATCTAGGGACGTTCCTGAGTCTGTTCTTACCTGAGAAAGTCTGCAACTCACATGTTCGTGAGTTGGGACTTACTGTACAAAAGTGTAGCACCCTAAAACAATGGCTCAGTAATATTTCCCCCCCACTTGTGCCTCTAGAACACCCCAAGGTGGGGGTCTGTCTCCTGGCTGTGACACAGTGGGTGCTGTAGCCACCCGCACTAAAAGACGACAGAAGGGTAACCTGTGCGGGTCACCAGCCCTGGCCGTCACTAGGCACTGCTGGGTCAGCGCTGGTCTCTGCGCATGGAGTTTGGGTCACGCCTTTCAACACTAGGGGCAAAATGAGGTGCAAATAGAATACGCATCCTTTCAATTTTCTTGAAGGCCTAACATATTTTATCTAGACAGCTATAATTCCCAGAACACAATTTTCTCCCATTTACCTTCAATAATCATCTCAGGTCATTTACTGAAGAACTTGGCTTCTACATTCCTTCCCTGAGACCAAATGTTGTATAAATGATGTTTACTTGACATGTTAGAAATCCAGTAGCCTCAAATAAGTTGGAAAACAAAACAAATACAGTACTTTCAGACACTGCTGTAAAGCTTCCACATGGAAGCAGCGTTGGTGTGTACGCTGCAGTGTCAATGCAAGAGAAAAGGAAAGGATGTGGAGTCTTCAGTGATCTTAAATGCTGGTTCCTAAGGCTGCCGAGCTCATTAAACAGCTCCATCTCTGCCATGAACGCCTGTGGAAGACTTAGAGGCACAGAATGGACTGGAGATGCTGAGTCGGCCACAATGTCTTCGCAGCAGAAAGTGCTGCACCTCATGCACCACTCGTACAGCTGCGTATTCCAAGCCACGCTTCTTCGGAGAGACTTAGGGTTAAGTCTGCTCCCATTTTAACCAACACCCACCTCCCCACCTGCCTGGATAAAGGTTCTCCTGTAACACCAGGAAATCAAGGAAACAGGAACTGTGATCCTGGTAAATTTCAACAGGATCCTCTTTGGGGAGACGGCAGGGGCCAACTCATCTGGAAATAATGGAGAAGGCTTGCACTGGAAACACCCACCATGGGTTGGTACCCTCTGTGTCTCTCTGCCTGTCTCTCTCTTTCTCTCTCTCTGTCTGCCTCTCTCTCTCCCTCATCTTACCATATTCATGCTATTACCACTTCCTTCTCTCTTCTCCACAGTACACTCCTCAAACAAGAGCAGGGCAGAGCTAGAAAGAAAAGTTAGGACTGGACTCTGTAGCAAAAGCCACTGCCTCCTGCATTTCACCAATACAAATTCAAACCCAAAACATCAGTGTGCTTCCATTACCATTAGAGAGCAAACTGTGGCACACACTTAAAGGAAAGCAGGGGAACCCGTACACAATCCTTCTGGCTAACATGGCTAGCATGGGGTAGGCCACATTTGTAAGAGTGATTTGTAAATAACTGTTACACTCTTTTATATATAATACTTTCTACTTTCATAAGGAAAATCTATTTCTACCTATCTTTTCATCCACCAAAATTCACTAATCAGAGGGTAAATATTTATGTATGTATGACATACATAAACAGTGAGGTACACTTAATGTATATTTTTTAAATATAAACATTTACTTTAATCACTCATATGGATAAAATATATTAAAACCAAATGAATGTAAAGATGAGTATGCAATTCTAGTTCACTTTTTAAAAGTTAATGTATTTATAATAATTTAAATACCTTACTACTAACCACCCCACTCCAAAGTTGAACAAAGCTGATCTGTGTTTATAAACGTTTTCTTTCTGCTGCCACTGTGTGTCCCTTCCAAGCAAAGGGCTGCCTGGACTCATTTCAGAAGTTCTTATATTACATGTCACTCTAAGGAAGACTTTTTCCAGATAAGTTGTAGAGAACATGTATTTTCAATGGCAGGTATTTTATCATCTCTGGCCATTTAGATTATAGACGTGGGATACTGTTTTATATGGCACCCTGCTACTGTGGAACTTTTCTTTTAGCTGTTTGAATTAGACGGCCTCTGCCAAACCAAACAGTAGGAGGGAAACTGTAAAAAAGCTTTAAAATGCTAAAAAAAGAACCAAGTGAACACGCAGCAATCTAAACATAAGCGAGGGCACTATTCCCATGACCTACGTTCGACAGAAAAAAACCGGAGGAAGATTCAGAGCGCTCATAGAAAACCAACTGAGAGCATGCACACTGTCCCCAGAAGCAAAATTACTGTAGACAGCACACAGGCAAACTGCTGCACTAAGATTTTTCTGTCCCACGTCTCTTGTATCATTTTAAGGCTAATGAGTCTGGCACACAGTTTTCTTCTAAAATGAGAATGATATTAAACTTTAAAAGAGAAATATAAGAAAATACAAGTTCAGTGAAACCTAAAGCACCAACATAATAATGGTCAGCAGAATTGCAAGAAGAACGGACTACCCTCAACGTTATCTTCTGAAGAACACCAGACACGTGACGCAGAAAGTGACTGGTGCTTGGAAGAATTACAGAAGGGTTGTGAATCTCATAGTATCTTCCACTCAAGCACATCACTGTTTTAAATGTATGCAGCTTATTTAAATTGATCTTTGTTTAGAATACATGTGACTGGATCGGGAAGTATGTATCAGTACAGTCACTATAGAAGACATCATTGGGCCATGGTCAGGACCCTCTGATAGACCCTCTGGGACTATTCAAGTGCCTGACAACCTCCCGCAGGTGCTGCTGTGCTGCAGGCACTGCTGCTGGGATTTCCTGAGCTTCAGAGAGGTCAGACCCCTTACTGGAGTGCAAGGGGAACGTAGGTAGGGACACAGTTCTTGCAGACTTCTCACCAAAGCTTTCCTCAAGGGCTGTGTGTGGAAATTCACTCCTGATTTTATAATATTTTGAGCCTTGAAACAGTTCATTAAACCTCAGTAGGTTAAGCACCATATTCCACACAGGACCAATCTCAGAATAACTCATATCACGTTATAGTAGTTGTCTCATGTACCTATTTAAGTGAGGCCAGGAGATGAGTTCTGATACTGCTCACAAGGGGACCTTTTGTCTGTCTGTCCTCTTCCCTAGCTGTCCTCTTCCCTACACATTTACAAGATGTGTAGCCTTTTCAAGAGGATTCTAGCTTCAACCTTTTAAACATATTGGGTGCATTATAGATAGAATTGAAGAATAAACTACCAATTTATACTACTGTATAATAATAGAATGCGTCCATAAGCATTACAAAGAGAAGAAGAATGTTTTGAATATAGCTTTATAAAACCATCAGAAAACAGATTCTTGAAGAAAACTAATAAAACTTACCATCTGAAATATTTGGTTGGTCACTGTTCACCAATTAGTATTTGCAAGATGGGAAACAATACATGGTGGGCAGAAGGAAGCAAAGCAAGTAAGAAACAAGACAACCCTCTCTGTGTCTCTTATATTGTATCCAGAATGAGGGTGGTACCAAACCAATTTGTGGACTGATTTAGTACTCACCCACCCTTAATCCTAGCATCCTCAGTCCTAGCATCCTCAGTCCTAGCATCCTTAATCCTAGCATCCTTAATCCTAGCATTACACCACAAATCAGTCACATACTCTTGATTCACCCACCCCTAAGAAAGTTCCATCTATGACTGCATGCAGCTGTGGGGGGCATGTGGACAAAGCCAAAACAGTAGAGAACTTCACTGAGAGGGAACGTTACACTTGTTGCTTATGGAACGATGGTTATGGCACAGATGACAAAAGGTCACCCACTCAGGACAGCAGAGAATAACAGAAACAAAGAGAATGGAGGCAAAGTAAGCAGCAAAATTAAGTGCCGGGGAGAGGCTGAGAGATCCGAACCCTGAGAACAGGGACTAGAGGAGAGAGGGTAAGGGTTGTACTGGTTTCTAATCGCTAATTATTCTTCCAAAACTGGAATCAGGTCTCAGAATCCTTGATTGTTGCCAGATGCCTGAAAACTGCACACAGCGCTATCATCTTACCACTTTTCAAGAGTACACTGTAGGTGACTATCTTTACCTCATTACTAGCAAAACCAAGTGCTAAAAGAACGAAGTGAAGAGCCTGCATATCTACAGTTTCACTCTTTCATACGAGATTCCTTCGGGGAAGGTGCCAGTCCACTTAATCATCCCTTCTCCTTAACAGATAAAAACATTAAAGCACTTGGAAATGTCCAGATTATTTATAAATCTGTCATAAAATAGTAAATGGAGGGCAGGCTCTTAAATGTTTTAACAGCCTTACCCCCAATTTACTATATTGGGCCACATGTTCACACAAGATTAATACACAGTTCCAAGTTACTTTTTAGGACTCAGTTTATATAAGTTATTTCATCAAATAAGATTTTCTTTAATTAGATCAGTGCATGGCCTAACAGTTTGTGATTATATCATGTTAGTCTCACAATATATATCTCAATGTTCACTAATTATTATTAAATGAAGAACCTAATTATGGAATTAGGAATTTAAATACCTGTGGCACCCGTTTGGAGGACACAAAGCTGGTTACTTCTATTACAGACAAGCCAGTTTGGGATAGTTGATTGATAAACTCAATTTTTATATCTGTAGGAACTATAACCTATAAAAACATAAAAAATTTATTTATAAGTAAGTCATATAGGATTTACTGAAGCAAAACTAGAAAATTAGTTTCTAACTGGAAGCAAGTATGGCTTATAAATTAAATAGGAAACATACAAAATAAAATCCACATCTTTAAATTTTTTTAAAAAATTAATATTTAGACAGCATTTGAAATGCACTCTGTAAAATTAAAATAAACCTACCCTTTCATTCTGCAATCCATCCCTAGGTCCAACTTCTACTATTTTAACATGCTCAGGGAGTGCAGGTAACTGGCCTAGTTCCTGAAATGCAAAACAATAAAGACAAGAGGAATAGGTAAATTTTAGATTGCTGGATTACTGGAAAAGTCAAGCAACTATACTTTGTTAAATAAACTCTCAATGAGAAATTTAAAACAGTAAAAAAAGATCACACATTGGGGCTGGGGATTTAGCTCAGTGGCACAGCGCCTGCCTGGCAAGCGTGAGGTCGCGAGTTCAATTCCTGGTACTGGAAAAAAAAAAAAGATCACAGAATGATACACTCTAAACACTTTATATTATTTGTAATATGATATGAAATCACGTTTCCTTTTAACAGTGATATTCGTTATCATGACTTAAATTCCAAAGAATAATTTCTAATAACATAATTGTGAAGTAGGTGATTTACCCAGCATTTTACCTGTTGGATAATTCTGTATGTGTTGATAAAATTGTATTGTTATTTTTTGAAAATTGATCTTTGTACAAATAGCTTCCTGCCACAGAGTCATGTAAGGAGTCACATACCATGTTCTGATTCTGTGTGTGGAGTTGGTATTTTGGGTTATGCTCAGAAAGCTGAGGCTAAAGAAAAAAAGGGTTGCTTGCTTCTATTCGGCGTCACATATCACAGCAACCACTTAAAAGCCTCTTGCTGAAGACACATTCTTACTAGGACATGACCCTCAATATCCCCAGGCACTGTCTCTAGCTCAATGTAGGGAACACCTTGCTCTAGCTTCTGCCCAGATCTATGGTGACAAATGGTCTGAATTCCGGAAACTTTTGTCCTGGACTAGGTGACCTTGCTTAGGCTGCATTTATTTTCTAAATGTACCCAACAAAAAGGCTGCTATTTAAGAAAAGTAGTAATGGCCATTCTAAATTTCTATCGCAGTGTAAATCAGCAGTAAGATAGATCTTTTCAGACTGGCCATAATCGCCTCATCTCTCTGAGCAAAGTGCTATCACCAAATTTTTCAAGTGGATAGTGGATAGCTTCAGCCAAGATCCACAGGACCTGCGCACTGATGTTTTCTGCGCTGCCTTTCATCAGAAATAATGAATTCAAGCTGACCAATTCGTACTGTCTCACTCTATGCTCGTACGCAGTCATTGGCTGATGCTGGCGAGGTGGTCACTTTGAACGAACAACCTCATCTGTATCTATGACCCAGAACAATGCTCATCAGCCCTCTGAGTGTCCGAAGTTGTCACTGGCTTTCTCAGCATCTGTGCTAATTCAGTGAAAGAGCTCAGATGGTCCCTGATAAAATATTCGCATCCTCCACAATTCCCATGAATGGGCAGTGCACTCAAAAATTGTCAAAGAAAAGTATTCTCCTTTCTGCACGTTCTGCTCAGGTGTGGTGCATAAAATTAACGTAGGTAGAGGGTTGAGAAGAAAGCATAGGTTTCTCAGTGTTAGGCTGTTTTGGACGGCAATCTTGAAATTATGCCTAATTATGGAGTGGGTTTAACAGCAGGTATTAAAGAAAGGACAGAGCATCGGAAGATGGAGTTAATGAGAGGGCCTCACTCTTTTTTATTATCTCCAGTCCTAAAACCCAGAAATCAAAAAGAAACAAAGCAGTTTTAAACTGTGTGTTCTCATTATCAGTGGTTGTTTCCCAAAACTATATTTCCAAAAGCAATTAACGTGCAGCATAGGTGGACCAAGAATAATCCTCTAGCGGATGGCAGTGTTTACCTAGGGAAGGAATAGAGCATCTTTTAAAGTGATAACAAGATGTTAAGGATGAGTAAGAGCTAAGCACCTTCTTTTGCAGCAATAAAATGTTACGAGCACCATTCACCAGGAGTAGGAAGAAATCCAACTACTGCGCCCCTTTCAGTCAAAGCAGATGTGCTTATTTGATATGATTTTAGAGTCTTCTGAAATCTTTTGCTGCTAGTCTTTCTAGACAATTTGCATTATGTTTATGACAAAAGAAAACCCCTAATGCAATCAACGAATAATTACTGATCACAGCTCATGTTCCACACATTACACTGGTTGTTAGTACACATTGACATAAAGCTAGTAGTAAATAGAGCAATTGGTATAAGTAGTAGGAGAGAAGGTAAAGAATAGTATGTGATGGGAAAATATCTGAGGATAAGTGTGTTCTGGTGGTGAGAAATTGTGCTCAGGTTTGAATCACTGAATTGTATGTGCTTGTGAACCATTTAAGTGGATTTTCCCACTGAGAGCTACTTGTGTGTATGAAGCTCCTTAGAAAAGTCACTATGCAGCTGGTAATGCCTTGGAAGAGGCTGGAGATCACCAAGAAAGGGTTCTCACAGGGCACTTATTCAACAAACGTGTTAAATCTGAAGATGAATCTTTGGGGGCAGCCAGAGGGCGCTGGCACATGTATGGGTGCATGGCAGGGACTTAGCACTTCATCTTGGGTAGCAAGCACATCTGCTTTTGCTCCAGATGAAGACGCTGTCTGAGGCTTCCAAAGTCTGTTTTCTAGAGCAACATCCTTGAAAGATAATTCCGAAGAAAGGTGTCCAGTGCTTTGCTACTGAGACATGCAGGCAGCCATGTAAAAGACCCAATAATTTCTTCCATTAATATTCTATTATTTTCCTCAACCAAGACTTAAGCCTTATCCAAGATGCCATTTGTCAGATAGAATTAACTGCCTTTCTACAATGCCGTAACGATACCTATTTTAAAAGATATCTGTCGGTCTCCCTCTGTCTCTCTCTTATAAACCCTTGGAGTTACAAATATGGACACATAAACACTTGACCAATGTTTTTAAAATAAATAAATTTGAAATGTGTTATGTAATGTAACAATTCCCTACAGTGAATGTAATCACTACGTACTGTAAACATGTACTAATAAAGTAAAAAAATATAATAAATGAATGACTTGAGCATTCATATATAACATTTAGGAAACTAATGTTAACCTTTCATCTGGCCAATGCTTGCTGGCTAAGGCAGTCACTGTAGTTACTTGGTATACGACATGAACCCTACAAAGAATTCCTGTCCAAAACTAGCTTAAACATTACTGCCACAAGGGTCTGCATGCTAACATGAGGCAGGGGTAGAGCAGCATTTTTTCTTATACCCTGAATGTGTAAGAGTTACCAAATGATGAGTGAGTTACAAGGAACTGAATTTTTTAAAAAAATACTCTGCAGAAGTTATCAATAGAGTCTTTAAATAGCCATAAAGTTTGAAATTTATTTTTATAGCATTAAAAGTCCTATGTTACTGAGCTCAGTGTATCCTTTTTAAAGTGCAGTGCAGTGCCCCATACTAGTAAAAAACAAAAGACGTGTTATGCAGAGCGAGGGTTTCAAAGAGCTGTGCTACACATCTGAGTGTGTGCCCACACTTGGCATCAGATTTCTAATGGCTCACTTTCATAGAGCAACAACAAAAGAAATACTACCTTGCACTTATTTTGTTTTATTTTTCCGAAGAACTTTTTTCTATCTACATTTCATGTGTAAAGCTACACTATTTGGTAGGCAGAACTGAAAGAGAGATTAAATGACTTTCTAAGTTTACCCTGCTAAGTTCACTGGCTCCTACTTTGGTTTCCTTTTTTAAAAATGATACTCAATACATCACCTATTGAGTTTTGCTTGAAAAAAAATAGTGAATCATTCTTTTATACAGAACATAAACAATCTGCTTTACTCATATTCTTCAATCGCATATAAAATAAAATGAAAGGCGTGTTCTGAAGTCGATCCCTCTGAAATCATTTGTGAGCAGGTAGAATATATGTTTCCTAGCAGCAATACCGGGTGACTTTATACTGTCAACCCTTTCCATGGCAACAGATATGATTCCTTAGTATTTATCCTACAAGTAGTGCTTTTTTTTTCTCTACAAAAATAACACAATCCATAGGAGAAATCTCTGCACAGGCTTGTGTATGTTCCACTCACTTCATTTCTTGAGCAGTAATTTTCTGTGTAAATAAAGTCTTTATGGATATTGAAGTATCTTGTTTCATAGCCACTATTCCCAAGGAGAATGGTTATGCTGCTCAAATCAAATGCTCCCACTGCACAGATGAGAAGTCTGAATCAGGAAATTGTGTGATTTTCTTTTGAAATTAAATTGGACTTCTTAACATATTAGATGTCAGCTTTTCCAAAAGAATCTATTTTTGTCTCAAATATGCAATGGTGCATTTTTGGTAATGTTAAACTCTCCACACTCTGCTGTTTGTTATTTCTTGGATGTTAATGTCTCTTTTAACCTAATTTAATCAGAAACATATAAACCATGATCACTGATGTAACAGATACCCACAGGAGCCTTGGTGCTCTGGAGCATTCAAAAGACATTTCTCTTTCTGAGTGCCTCTCTGGAAGACAGAAAGGACTGAATAAACTAAGCTGATACTTGAACCTTCTCTGAGAATAGCCATGGACTGGGGTTAATTCAAAGGCAATCCTGACAATTCCATTAGAATGTATTTGACAACAAGTAAAAGTAAGTTAATAATGTACTGTTAAGGCACCTAACCCTCTATGAAGAATATCTCCTGGTTTACTAATTCAAAAGTTAAAGGAAAGCATCCACAGGTAGTTCAGCATTTTGAGGAGAGCCAGAGGCAAAAATGGAGAATGCGTGGTTATTTGTTACCCTCAAATTTCAGTCAAAGTTTTAACAGAGAAGAGAAACAACGTCTCAAAGTGCAGACACCACTCCGTATGTACATATACTAGTGAATGCCTTTGGCATTTAAAGGAGAATTGGTGGTGGGTGTCAGTGCAGATGCACGGCACGGCTAAACATAAATCTCTTTGAAACACGTGCATGTCAAGAGCACTTGGAAAAGTTGAACAAAAAAGCAGAGAAAAAGCAGAACATAACACAAGGTCATCTGCCACATATGAGGATATACAATATAGCAGATTATAAATAATGTAACAGTTATAAATAATATAACAGTTATAAATAATTACTGTTTATTATTATTTTAAAATGAAGCTCTTGACTTCTGCACCATATAAGTTCATTTCTCAGTTAAATAAATTTTAAGAAGAGGC